TACAGATGAGATTAAGTGGTTTGCCCAAGAACACTCAGTTACTAATAACTGGCTTAGTGTTGTGACTTCCATTAATAGTGCCTTTCCCACTCTAACACAAAGCTGTGTATTTTATGATCATACTTGTGAGAAGAGGAGATGCTAGAATGAGCATCTCATGACTCATAGGTAGTAGTAGAATTCTGGGTGACTTGTTCAAGGCAAAAATAATTTCAGACATGCCAGGAATGGTGGCTCATGCCTGTAATCCCAGCAGTTTGGGAGACAGAGGCAAGAGAATTGCTGAGCCCATGGTTCGAGACCAGCCTGGGAAACATGGTGAGACCTCATCTCTATAAATAAAAAAAATTAGCCAGGAATGGTGGCACATGCCTGTAGTTCCAGTAACTTGGAAGGCTGAAGTGGAAGGATAACCTGAGCCCAGCAGGTCAAGGCTGTGGTGGCCATGAGCATGCCACTGCACTCTAGCCAGGGCAAAAGTGTTAGATTCTGACTCAAAAGAAAAAAAAGTTTCAGACAATGTATAAAACTGAAGGACAGAGGGGTGGTTACAGAGAAGCCAAACACCTTTTCTCCCACCTCTACTCTCATCCTGCCAAGAACAAGAATGGTAAAGTTAATAGATATAAGCTGAGTATGAGAAAATGCTTGAAGGTGAGCAAGAAATAGTAAACACAGCACTTAAACCTAGCACAGAAGTCAAATTATATCTTACCCAATTTGAAAACTGTATGCTCCCAGTAACAGTACATTTGTATTAGGTCTAAGGATTTTTAAAATTACTATCCTAAATACATTTTCCAGAAAGCACCAAATTAACTGATATTGATCATCAAGTATAATAATAGATAAAATATCAGTATTGATTGGTATAATGTTATGCTGCATCCTGTGACTGGACAAGCATTTTTAAATGTAATTTCTACTTTCTTGGAAAAAAAAGTTATACTCACTTCTTGGTTGTAAAACTGTAGCAATCCATACATTAAAAAAACCAAAAGTAGCCCTTCAATCTCTCAAAGTAAGATTCACAACGAACAAACTTAAGTCTCATTAGTATTTTAATAGAAAAAAATAAATCTAAAAAAATTCCCCTTTCTGAAAAAGGGGGGGGAGGTGGCTTATGAAGAAATAACTGAAAAATAAGTTTAGTAAAAAAAACAAATAAATTGATGTGGTGCCGTGGCTCACGCCTGTAATCCCAGCAATTTGGGAGGCTGAGGCGAGAGAATTGCCTGAGCCCATGAATTCGAGACCAGTCTGGGCAACTTGGCAAGGCTTCATCTCTAGAGTAAATCAAAAATAAATCACTCTGGGCAACATAGTGAGACACTCAATAAATAAATAAATAAATAACTAGATAGATAGATTTCCTCCTAGGAAACAAAGAAAAAAATTTCTAGAAAAAAACCTGGAAAAAAATGTAAAAATTAAGTAACAAATATATATAAAAGGAAGATTAATTTTAGGAAGAATGCAAATTGACAGACATCAGGGATCTTCACTAAAATCTCATTATATGTCTCTGTAAATGACAGTTTACATACCTAAAATGAAAATTATCATGAGAATCCCAACTTACTTCAGTGGTTCCATTTTTTTAGCTTCCCAGATGTAAAACCTTGAAGATGCCAAAGACTTTTACCTTGTTTTCTATAGCTAATCATTCATCACGTTCTAACATTTCTTCCTTCAAAATGTCTCTTTTGAATACAAAGCAAAATTCCCAAATATTTTTCAAAGAATGGCAAATACATGTGATGTACTGAGTAAACAAACAAAAAACTCATGGAGAAAAATACATAAAAAGGAAAATAAACCAGGCTCGGTGGCTCAGCCTGTAATCCTGCGCCTTTGGGAGGCTGAGGTGAGTGGACTGCCTGAGCCTGGGGTTCGAGACTCGCCTGGGCAGCAAGACCTCATCTCTACAATAAATCAAAAAATCAGCCGGGCGTGGTAGTGCATGCCTGTAATTCCGGCTACTTGGAAGGCTGAGGCGGAAGGATCACCGGAGCCCAGCAGGTCGAGGCTGCGGTGGCCGGGAGCGGCCACTGCACTCCAGTCTGG